TGCATCAAAGTGTTCAAACTATTGTTGTCCCTTAATGAGCAAGTGCCCAGTGATGCTTCTGTTTGGCATTCCAAGGTCTCAAGTTTAGAGCACCATTAAATGATCACGAGTGGCAGTCAGGCCATCTTGGAGGCTGAAAGCCCTGGAAACTAGTTAATTGGATTACTCACACAGTTCCATCTACTTTCCAGGTGTTAAGTATTTAAATCATATCTTTTTTTTATTAGTAACATTGGTTCAGTAATCATATGTTCCTTAAGGAGAAGGCCTTACCTTAAACTCCTTATTTAATTTTTTTTCTTTTTTAAAGATTTTGTCAGAGAGAGGGCGCGTGCAAGCACACACAAGCAGGGGAGGAGGGGCAGAGGGAGAGGCAGGCTCCCCGTGGAGCAGGGAGCCCCATGCGGGACTCCATCCCAGGACCCCAGGATCATGACCTGAACCGAAGGCAGACACTTAACCGACTGAGCCACCCAGGCACCCCGAAACTTCTTGTTATTTAATAGGGAATCTTGTTTGATCAGTTCCATGCATTATGGCTCCTTGAGCATCAGAAAAGGTAATGAAAGATCATTTTGCCCGTTACACTGGATGAAATCAGGAGTTGGCCGTAGTGTGGTTACAGTGACCTAGGTAATCCCCTTTGGGCACCAGGATATCTAGATTGGCCATCTGCTCTGACCAGATGATTCCACAACTGCAAAATCATGTGTATTTGCTCTTTGCCGTGGGAGCTGAAACTAAGACACGTCCAGGGGGTTTCCAACCAAGTCACAGGCTTTCAAGGAGAGCTACATTCAGTGAATTGCGGGGCCATCCTATGAAGAGTAGGGTTTCGCTCCACAAAGAACCTCTATTTTTGCCCCTTGCTTAAGGGTATAACTGCTGCTTGGCTGTCTCCCCAAATGCATTTTCATCTTGTTTTCACTGCCTCCCCCATCTTCTGTGAGCCCCTACCCCGACCCCCTTAAACCATCTCCCATCCATCCCCATCCCCACCGGCCAGACTTTGTAAGAAAACCTTTGTGCTGGGTTTTCAAAGTGTGTCTGTTGCTTACAGCCTCTGCAAAAGAAACTTGAATAGATGAGAAATGAGCTCTTGCAGCTAAGTAGGTCTGAGCTATAGCGTCACCCGGGCCTGCGGAAGAGAAGAAAACAGACCCTTGCATTGTCCATGGTTCCTGACCCCTGGTTCTGTTAGTGCAACAGTCCAAATGAGATCCTTCCCTAGGACCTGCCTAGCCACGTTCGTCTGTGAGTGCAAGCTACAGCGTGTAAACCGTAATGCACACGGTTTTGGCCACTATCCACATCTGGTATTTGAACTTGCCTTCATGCCATTTTTAGAAGGAGGTGGAACATAAATAAATTAATATTTGGACTCTACATGTATCTGGGAAAAATAATCTCCTAGGCTTTTCAAAGAAACTGGAAAGTCCGACTTCAGTCTGCTTTCAATTACTTACAGCTGCAGCTCCGTGTTCCCCAGCTCTCTCCTGCTTCTGGAGGGTTAATGCTGGCTTTTGAGCCAAACCGGTATTTCTTGTTTTCATACACCATTTTAATGAGAATTCAGAATAATGATGTTATAAAGAAAACATCAAGATTTTATCACTACTCCCCAGGGACTTCTGCTTAATCCTTTTTCACTGGAGTTTTGGGGTTTTTTTAATATATTTTTTTAAGATTTTATTTATTTATTAGAGAGAGACAGGCAGGCAGAGGGAGAAGCAGGCTCCTTGCTGAGCAAGGAGCCCGATGTGGGACTCGATCCCAGGACCCTGAGATCATGACCTGAGCTGAAGACAGACGCCTAACTGACTGAGCCACCCAGGCGTCCCTTCACTGGAGTTTTTAAAAGCTGTTTTCTGGGTGAAGCAGCTGCACCATTCACAGTTCCCCTCAAACGGGGGCATCCGGGGCCATGGGTCTCTTGCTTGCTTTTCACTCAGGGGTAAGTCCTGAGCAGTTACCTTATCTGTAAATCAGGTGGCGCCATGTGAAATCGCTGCGTACGTAGGTCAAAATGGGCAAATAACAGCATTTTCGTGTGGCTCGTGTTAATACGAGGCTGCAGCAGAGCACTTAGCTAAGGAACCAGCACTGGTGAGACAGCAAAGAGCCAGGCTGCCTGGCTCCTTCAAGTAAATACTACACATCAGACATCGTGTGTATCTGGACAGAAACATGGAATGTCCCTGGCTGCAGCCAGCTCTCCATTCAGGAGCACTCTTAAAATGGGCATATTTTAATATCCTTATTTCTTTGGGTTTTTTTTTTTTTAAGATTTTATTCATTTATTTGACAGAGACACAGCGAGAGAGGGAACACAAGCAGGGGGAGTGGGAGAGGGAGAAGCAGGCTTCCTGCTGAGCGGGGAGCCTGATGCGGGGCTTGATCCCAGGACCCTGGGATCATGACCTGAGCCGAAGGCAGATGCTTAACGACTGAGCCACCCAGGTGCTCCTTCTCTGGGTTTTCTTACCCCATGAAGATGGGCCCTGCTTTTAAATTAGTTTCAGCCCTAAATAACATTCTCTGTCTGGCAAAATGGAAACAAGGAGACAGTTGTTTGGGAGTTGGGAATTTGAGGCACGTGCTTGCCGGGGTGCTCTTCAGGCAAGGAGGACGTCCCGGAAGCGAGCCGGAGAGACTTTCATGAAATGCAAGGCGCTGCACTCTTTGTACCTGCTCCCCCCCTGGGCTGCCACGGCCGTCCCCTTTCTCCTTGCCCTTCACGGCTACTTTTGCCTCGTTGCCTGGTTCAGGTTCTTGCTCTGTTGGCATTTCCCTTTGTGAGGGCCAGCATCCCGGACGGCTCCCGTAGGAGGCAGGGCAGCAGGGTGGGTGGTCTCTGGCATGTGCCATCCCCGGGTTCTGGTGGCCTCGCTGAGCCCCACTCTGCTCCCCGCCTGCTTGCGTGGCCCTTCTAGCTGCAGATTTAAGATCCATACCTGGAATGCAGGTCTCTGTTCACAGGGCATGTTTATAAAGTGACGTGATTTCAGTCATCCTGGACCTCACAGTCCCGCGCAGAGGAGGCACATCCCGAGAGTACTCCCATTGCTCAGAATATGCTTGGAGCTCTGGATGGGATGGTCTGCACCTTCTAACGGAGTGTTTACAGCTCTGTGAGTTACTGTTCTGCACCATCCCTAGGGGGTGAGCTTGATGCCTGGAATTACCTGAAGTCATTTACACTCATTTACAGTCCATCAGTGGGCAGGGGGGAGCACTGATTCAAGTAATAGTGTTCAGAGCAAAAATATGTATAAATACAAAGGTTGCAGACTGGGATGGGTTGGTTATTGGCTTTTTTTGCGTGACTTTAGTGTTGATTCCCAGGGGGGCTCCAGAAAGTTTTGAGCATGGCAATACCATGGCGTCCTAAGGAGACTACCTTTAAAAAATGCAGTACTTACTGGATGCAGATTTTGGCTATTCCCTTTTTTTTTTTAAATATTTGAGTGAGAGCATGCGCAAGCAGTGGGGAGGGGCAGAAGGAGAGGGACAAGCAGACTCCCCCCCCCGCCGCCAACCCCGAGCACGGAGCCCACTCAGGTTTTGATCCCAGGACCCCGAGATCATGACCTGAGCCGAAAATCAGATGCCTAACCGACTGAGCCACCCAGGTGCCCCATAGCTGTTTCTTTTAAAAACTGTCATTAATCACACTTCTGCATTAGAGGTAGGCTTACAGAGCCAGTGATTGCTCAACTAAATCAGAGAAGCCGTTTTCCTTCCCAGAAGGGGAGGTTCCTTGTCTGTTCCCTCACTCACCCGGCTCCTTCTCTTTTTCCTTGAATTCTTTATCTTCTGCCTGGGAGAGGCTTGTCTTTACATATTGTTTGGTCTTGCTTAGGTTGTGGGAGCCAGCCCCTGAATGTGGTGCCTCTCTCCAGGCCACACAGCAAGAACGCTGCGAGCCTGAGATGACTTTTGACTAACAAGCACCGCATTCTAGAGCCAGAAACTGGAAGACAGTCCTTCCCAAACATGGCTGCATTTTAGAATCCCCTGGCAAGTGTTTAAAACTGACACCCAGGTTGCACCCCATACCAACTGAAACAATGTCTGCGGGTGGGGTCCAGGCTGCGGTAGTTTGTCAGAGATCCCCAGGTGATTCTAATCAGCATCCAAGCCCGAGGACCACTGCAAGGAGGGGGATTATCCTTGACAATGTGAGCAGTTACACCTGAGCGTAACCACAGCCAGCTCAGTCTTGCATCTCTCAGGCAACGTGAGGTGCTAGAAACAGCCCTGGATGCAAAACCAGTCTCTACAGCCTACCATCCTGGTGACCTTGGCAAGCCACTTAGCCTCCTGTGGGCTTTTCCTCTGTGAAATAAGATAATAGCAATACCTGTCTGATAGGGTCATGTTAAGGGATGGCAGAGACGATGCGTGGAAGTCTTCGTAAATTACGAAGTGCTGTGTAAATGTCTGATAATACTGGAGATTCTTTTATAGAAAGATGATCGTGTTCCGGGTCCCCTGGCGAGGAGGCTGGGGTGACTGTGGTGGCATTAATCCCTTCATTACCAGCAGTACTCCTGGGAACCGTTTAGGACAAGAATTGATTTCTTTTGTCTAATAAAGGGGGCGGCCAGGAGAGGTGGTCTCTGCCAGCTTTAAAATGAAACCAACAGCCAGAGCCTAAGAGAACCAACCATTGCCCCGTGATGCCCAGGGAATGCTCCCTGGCTTCCTGTTAGCAGACTGTGAGCTGAGGGGCCTTGTACAGAGGAACATTGGTCGTCCATCAGCTTCTGAGCCTGCCTTTCATCTGCAGGCTTTCCGTTTGGTTGCATTTCATTTATATCAAAGTGGATGAAACAAGGTGGTGCTAGCGGGCCCCCAGGGTCAGAGGGATATCCTGTTGGCCAGGGCCTGCGTGCTCGTTTTCGTCAGTGCGACTGTGGTGTCTTGTGTAGTAGACATCGTCGTGGCTCTTTTGAGTACAAACCAAAGCATTTTTTTCTTGGGCTTGTCCTCTCCAGGGATTTGAAGTTGGATGGAGGGAAGCAGTCCACAGGTGCCGTGAGCTTGAAAGAGATCATTGGCCTTGAAGGTGTGGAGCTGGGAGCTGATGGGAAGGTAAGGCTTCCTAGCTTCCAATCGGCAAGTCTCTGCCGACACCACCAGGGTCAGGACTCGGAGGCAGCGTGACAGACCACGACCCTTGCTCACGGTGGCGGAACCAGGTCTGGGGCCAGCCCGTCCCCTCTTCCCTAGCGTGCCCTCGGAAACCCACTGAGCCAGTGAGGAAATAGCGGCAGAGTATTTCTCCCCCAGTGCTATTTATGATGGAATGCCGGATACTGATGAGTATCCCACACACCCGTGCATGTTCTGGAATCGAGTGGCTTGAGCATGCATTAATTGATGGTGTCAGCAAGCTATATTCCCGCTACTAGAAAGTTTGTTTTGGGGGGGGTGGGGGAGGGAGGCTTCCCACGGTCCTGAGAAGCTGAGTCTTTCAGACTCAGTGAGCACCTAGCAGGAGAGCTGTTACATTCCTCCTTACCTGCAGTCCAGTGAGCTGCTGTGTGGAAGTCTGAGTGAGGGGTGAAAGTTCAAAGAGGAACTTGACCTTTTTGTGCTGGATCCCAGTAATCTTTGTAAACCCTTCAAAAGCCTGTTTATGGAGATGAAGCAAGTATTTGGGGAAGCCATCTCAGGGTGGCTTGCTGTCAGCTGAAGCTGCTGGGGCAGCTAGTGACCTCCCCACCTCCCCCCTGCCAGAACAGCTGGTCACCACTGTGCCCGGATGTCATCAGCCCCGAGCCCACGAGCAGGGGTATATGGGCCGTGCTTCTCCAAGTAGGTGGAAAGAAAAACACTTGTTCTGTATCCATTTCTGAAGGTTGAGTGTTCACACAGGATTGAGGGAGGTGAGCTAGAGACCAGCATCAGAGATCTCATCTGCCAACAGAACATACAGCAGGCCACAGCCCCTTATCAGACACTCTTGGGGTCTGATGTGTTCTGGAATTCTGCACTTGGTGGGGTATAAAGCTCGTGTGGTGTTCAAAAAAAAAAAAAAGCCAATGCGCTATGTGCCTCGTGTATTATACAACATCCCAGTGCTTCTGGGATAGTTCTCAAACACAGTGATGTTTCTACCATATAACATGAATATTCACACAAAGTGCAATAAATTAAAACTATACGTAGCCTCAAATTAGTTGAGTTTAGGTTTTGGCACAAATAAATACCAAAACAGATTTCATCTCAGATCTCATTGGATTTTAGAAGTACGGATGTAAGAATATGAATGCAAACCTATCACTGCCTGGGAGTAATCCATCTTGTCCGTTTTCGTCTTCACCTTTTAGACTGTTTCTTACACCCAATTTCTGTTACCCACAAATGCCTTCGGAGCCCGGAGAAATACCATAGACTCCACGTCCTCCTTCTCCCAGTTCCGTAACCTGAGCCACCGCAGCCTCTCCATAGGACGTGCAAGCAGCACCCAGGGGAGCCTAGACACAGGTAACCTTGGGCGGGGCCGGGGCCGGCAGCGCGTGGAGAAGGGTGCCTCGGTGCACCGTGTGGGCTGGGTCTCCCTGTGTGCAGAGTGGAGGACGGGTGCCTCTGGATGGAGCATGAACCCATCCCATGGGCCACGTGACTTTGGGGCAAGCCCGATTTCAGGCCATACAGGTTCACAGCCAGGCCACAGGGGGACCTCACCAATGAGATGTTTCAGCCACCAACTCCCGAGCTCCCACAAGGAGAAATGCCAAGGCCATCTGTAGCGTGCAGATATGGTTGGACCGCCCCCTCCCTCCACCCTCTCCCACCACCCTCTCCCACCACTCAGCTCCTTATCTCACCCTGGTTCTTGCCAATATTTTCCCAGTGTTCCGATTTGGATCAGGTGTGAGAACTTTTTGTGATTCTCGTGGCCTGTGAGTGTGAAGGAGGGCTTGCTTGCTTCTAGTTTTGCCTCTACAAACCTTTGTAAGACTCAAACAAGGGAGAAAACTCCAGAGAAACTCCAGGTGAAGGGGGGAAATTGCTCAGGCCTGTGCGGGTGCTGAGTTTGGAAGCACTGTCCTTCGGTTCCCACAAGCTCTGGCCGTTGACAGCTGTTTGCCCTGGCGCCACTCTGATCTGTGGACGGACACAGCAGCCTGCCTGGAAGCTTTCACACCAGAAACATGCGGCTCACGGGGCAGGACTTGAGTTACTCGTTTGATCTGCAGGTTCAGCAAATGCGCCTTCTTGGTGCCCCATTTTGTAACCCGAGTGCTCGCTTCAGGTCGGGGGGAGTGATACATAATTTTCTAAAGTGGAAAAACTGTGAGAATGTTAAGTATTTGGTGACCCCCCTTGTGCAGGGGATACCCTTCACTGGCATGTAGGGATGTCTCCTGAGGGGCAGAGTGTGCGGTGTGACTCTGGGCTCAACGACCTGAGGCCAGCCTTGCTTCAGTCTAACTTTAGTCTTGGCATCCGCCCTCCTGCTTCTGCTTCAGGGAGTCTGGGGCCTCTATTGATTATTCTGTGTGTGATCCTCAGGTAGCGACCTGGGAGACTTTATGGACTATGACCCAAATCTCCTGGATGACCCCCAGTGGCCTTGTGGCAAGCACAAACGAGTTCTGATCTTTCCTTCGTACATGGTGAGTAGTGGTGGAGAGACAGTCTGCTCACCCCCTCAGCCTCACCCCTGCTGCCCCTCAGGCATGCTCACCCTAACAGGCGGCTGCTCTCTGGCCTCAGGGGGCTGGTTCAAACACTGCGCGGCCTGGGGAGCTTCTAGGGGATTCCCCAGTGTAGGTTGCTCACAGAAGGCCCAGCACGGGCTGGTCCTGGGTTCTTCTCGTCACCTGGCCTGCATACACCACTTTGGTCAGGGACCCTCACCTCTTGGGGGACACACCTGAGCTCCTACATCTGTAGACCCCACTAGGGGAGGGTCAGGCCCCTCGGGTTCAGCTCTGTTTGGAGTTCCCTGGTGACTGTAGGCCTCCACGTGCACTCCAGGCAAACTGGGCACTGGGCTCCGGATGACAGAATTCTCTCCTGGGAGAGTGAAGGTAGGCCACTCTGGGCGTTAAATGCAAAACCTTTACTTGCCGTTTTTGCTTCATAGACTCTTCCTGTTTTTCCCTTTGTGTAATTTTGGTTTCTGCTTTTGGCTGACCACCATTTCCCACCACTTGGTCTGCCGTTTCTCCAGATGCCCGTGGGGCCTGTCTGGGTCCTGTGTACTTTCTTGGGGCAGAATTGCCCCAACTCAGTGGCAGGCGGATCCCGGGCAGCCGTGGGAGAAGGGGAGAGCTGGGCTTGTGGGAAAGCTGCCAGGCCAGGCCTGCCGCACATGGCATCAGGCAGGAGAACACCAACCCAGAATGCTCCCACCACCTCCCTGAAAGGCCCAGAGGGGGCGGGCGCAGCTCAAAACATCCCGCTCCGGTTCCCTTGCTCCTCCCCAGCCCGTGCCATTCATAGCAGCCCCAGCCTCTTCTGGGCTCTTGTGTCTGCAGAGGCCAGAGTGGGACCCCGTTTACTCAGAGGGTCCCTGAACACTCACTCTGAACTGAGAGGTCTCAGCACTGGGGTTCCACCCTCCAGCCTCGCTTTCTTCCCTGAACATTTGGCAAGTAGCTGCCGTCAGACACCAGGCAGAGGTCCTTGGCAGTTGCTTCCAGCAAAAATCCTATTCTAATACACTATGCTGAGTCAGCATGGATTACCAAAGGCATTGAGTTTAAAATTGCCCCTGCTTCTCACTCTCCCATCCTTATTTCCCACCTCCTAACACGAAAAGCAGAACCAGAGCCATGTATGTTTTTTTTCCCCACTCCGAGACCTGTTAAGATTAGTTGTTACTTTTACAACGCCAGGCCGTATTCATGTAAGCTAGCACATAATAAGTGTTTAATAAATGACCAGAATTGCCGCCCTAATGTGAAGGAGGAAGCAACTGAAACGTCATGACTTGTGTAAGAATAGGATTCTTTATGCTGTTCATTGCTTTACTTACTAAGTAATGGTCAGGAAACTGTGGCTTGGGGAGTCTGAGTGAGGCCGTCACAGTTGACAGACAGGAAGTGGGGGCTGAGGCTGGTGCTCTTCTCACTTGGCCTGGGACTCCCACATCCCTCAGCAGTCAGTGGCAGAACGGCCGACCTCGGGGGAGGACTCTTTGGGCCAACAGTTTAACAGATTTCTAAGTAACCAAGAGAATAAGAGAGGGCACTATTTTTGACCGACTGGGGTTTGGCAGGGAGCTCTTCTCTGGGCTATGTCATGTCTGGCGATAACATGGACCTCTCCTGTAGGCCTGGTGGCAGTCTGGTGCCAGATCTTATTTTTTTCTTTAAGTGATTTCACTGAGCCTCAAGGTTCTGGGTCGCAGACTACATCACGTGCCTGTGCACACAGGGCATTTTCCTCCTTGGGCACTGTGCTAGATGACTTGCCAAGTCAGCATATATGTCCTGTCCTCCGTGTTGTATGTTCCCAACTGGCTCATTTTTCATTTTCCCAGGTTGCATCTGCAGCCCCTGCTTCCTGTAATAGTATGTGTTTTAGAGAATGAAATGGCTCGTGAACCGCATTTTCTGGTCAGTTCCATAAGATGTACATCTCTTCTTCTGGCCGCAGAGATTTGTACTTTGATCAGATATGGGACAGCCACTTTTCAGCATTCTCTGTCACTGCCATGCATGTCTTGTGTTACAGAGAGCCTCAGACTGGCTCCCAGGAGACTTCTCCAGAAGCAGGCATGGATTATAGGGCTGTTTCACATGCAAACTTGCGCAAGTACGCATGGGGGTTTTGGTTTTGGTTGGTTTGCTTGAAGATACAGAATTTGTCCACTAAGCCAGTACTGACTGAGGCCCTACTGTGTGCCAGGCCAGATGCTTCCTTATATAGTGGAGAACAAACCGGCCACAATCCCCATTTTCCTCAGCCTTACAGCAGGTGGGGAAGTCAGATGGTGAGCAAGCAGACAAGTCACTGCGGTCATGAGGAGGGTGAAGAAAAGTGGTAGGAGATGATGGGGGCAGGGTAGGGGGGTGAAGGTGGGAGGTCTACCTCCAGGAAGGTTCCCCTGAAGAAATGGCATTGAAGGTGAGTATGAGGGGTAAGAAGGAGCAGCCATTCCAGGCCTTGGTGGGAAAGGCCCATGTGCAAGACCCTGTCTCGTGAAGGGGGGTGAAAGAGGGAGAGTGTATCAAATCAGTATTTTTAACAATGACAGTCACTGTCCTTCCCTCTACATGCATACACACACACACACACACACACACACACACAGAGAGAGAGAGAGAGAAGGCAAGCCCAGAGAATGATGATCCTGACAGATTTTCCATACTTACTCGACCCCAGGCACACGGAGCTGTGCTTGTAATAGGCACAGACTACCAGGGTAAACAGAGCTACACGGTTACTTGACCCAGGCTGTTGAAAACCTCCTTTGAAGGTCTAGGGCCCATCTTGGCCTGTGGGTGGGTGGGAGGCACTCTGCCTAGACAAACTCACCCAGCTTAGAGCTTTTCTCCTGGGATGTGAACCCTCATCACTGGCAGGGCACCCCCTGCAGGTGGACGTCAGACCTGTGCGAAGCCTATGAGGCCCGGGCTCCTCTGTCCCCTCCCCAAGGGCTTCCTGTCAGTGGCCTTTGCTGGAAGGCTGGGCAAGGGTGCGGCCAGGTGCCAGGCTGACTGTATGCGCAGCACTGCCGACCGCCCTTCATATTGGCCTTCGAGGCCTGTGGGGGTCCTGCTGCCTAAGCCTATGCCTGCCTCCCTTAGGTTGCCAACGCAGCTCAGGGGAGGCCAGCCCAGTGAAGGCCTCAAGCCTGAGAACCAGGGGCTGTGGCATTTCAGGGTCTGAGATGTTCATGCGGCCTCTGCAGAATCAAGCAGGCCAGAAAGTGATGCGCTAAACCTCTCGCCCCATCGCATCCCCCAGCCACTATTTATTTGTTTTCTCTTTTCGTATTAAGTTGTAATTTATGTATGATCAAACACACACATTTTAAGTGCAGTTCCATGAATTTTGTCACCTCTGCTTCAGTCAAGATAGAACATTTCTTTCCCCATAGAAAGTTCCCTCCTGTCCATGCTGTTCTGACTTGTGTCACCACAGTTATTCTAGCGCTTTATGCAAGTGGAATCATAAACTATGTGCTTTTTAAATTTTTTTTTTTTTTTTTTTTTTGGTTCTTCTTCCTTAATAGAATAGGTGAGATTCACTCATGTTGCACATATCAGTAGTTTGGGTTTTTTTAAATTGCCGAGTTAGGGTTCCCTTGTAAGGACATACCCCAGTTTATTTATCTCCACTCCTATTGATGGACATTTGGGTGGTTTCCTGGGTAGGGATACCATGAATATTGCTGCCATGGGCATTCTTATACAAGTGTTGCGTGGACATATATTTTCATTTCTCCTGGGTAAATAACCCAGGAGCGGGCTTTCTGGGTCCTAGTGTAGCTGATGTTAACCCGCCAGGATGTGGTTGGATGAGTATTTTCATTCATGTGTGTTCTAAGTACCAGATAAAAAGGCCACTCGTGGTCACAGTTGCCATGCCTTCAAAAGTGGGAGAGTTCCAGAGGCAAACATTTCCCTGAGGCCTAGAAGGAAGCCTGTCAGGTACAGAGTTTAAGTGGCAGCCGTTTAAAGCTGACCTTGCATTCGGAGTGACACTGGTTTTTAACTTTCATCTGTGCAAGTCACTCCCACTATTAGCCGCTGTGAAAGGGCAAAGGGGAAATTTTGAAGTAAAAAAAAAAAATTCGTGGGACAAGTCTAGAAACCCCAGTCGCAGCTGCCCCTGTGGTTTTGGCCCTGAAGCTTCTAGACGGTGACCACAGAGTAGGAAAGTATGTTGAGCCTCCTGGCTACATGCAGGTTCTCGTAGGGCCTTAGCTTAATGATGGTGTTTCTCAGTGCGGTGAGGGCGGGCGCGAGGCCTCGAGTCCGAACCGGCTGCTTCCTGCTCTGTGCGCTGCCTGCCTTGTAATTAAAGTTTGGCCAGAAAGTGGTTGTTTATCATTAGAACCTGGCAGCTGAAGTCAGTAGTGGTTTTGTTTTTTCTTCCTTTTCTGGGTGTGGAGAGCAATTAAGAGGAGAAAGTAAGCAAAAGAGCTGACTGAGATAATGCCAACAAAGTTAATGTTATTTGAATGCGTGTCTGGATCCTTTTCCTTCTCAGGAAGAAATCCCTCTCAAACTATTTTGACATCAGAAGGAAAACCGACTAATAACCTTTATGATATCTGTAGGTATATAAATCTCGAGAGGACATCTCTTGGATTGATCTTCTTGATAAAGTGCCTATTCACTACTCCTAGAAAAACTCCTCCTCCTTACCCCCAGACCTCCCCAGTGTTGTGGGAATATGTCTTAGAACTTTTTCGGCACAGTATGAGATGGCTGAGCAGTGGGAAATTTAAGACTCAATAAAAGGAAGGCTAAGTCAACTTTCTGTGTGGCAGGCAGTTGGGCTCTGGTTTCCCTCACCATATTTCTTTTCCACTGAAAGCCATTTTGATGACGTAGGTACTTACCTGTCTGCAGGGTGGGTTTGTAGAGAAGCTAAAGCAGCTTGAGCCCCAGGGGATACTCCCTTGTAAGGCTCCTTCCAGGGCCCTCAGGTTTCAAGGTGCTTGAAGCTCATTCAGTTTAGGAAAAATAATAAGTCATTACAATAACACCATTGTTAGGCCTCTCCTGAGACTTGGAAGGGCTTTAGAGCTTCCCCAGCTCTACGGACAGTCTGCCAGGCACCTGCATAGGAGCTGAGCAGTGGGATCTCTGAGGCCCGCCAGCTTTTGGTGCAAGTGTTAAAATAAAATGCCTTCTTAAATGCCCTATTACATTGTGGTGGGTTTGTTTTCTGGCTTTCTGGCTTTTTTGGGTTGTGTGTATGTGACAGCTTTATTGGATATAATTCACATAGCATACAGTTCACTTTATTTTAAAGTGTATAGGGCCGCCTTGGCTGGCTCAGTCGGTGGAGCATGCTACTTACTCTTGGTCCAGGGGTTGAGTTCAAGCCCCACATTGGGCGTAGAGCCCACTAAAAATAGAAAATAAATAAGTGTATAATTAAGTGGTTTTTAGGACATTCACAAAGTTGTGCAGCCATCACCATAATTAATTTCAGGACATTTTCATCATCCCCAGAAGAAGCTCCTGTACCCTCAGCCCTCCACCCCCTAAGCCCTAGGCAACCACTAATCTACTTTCTGTCTCTGTAGACTTGGCTATTCTGGACATTTCGTAAAAATGGAATCATACACTATGTGGTCTTTTGTGTCTGGCTTTTACTTAGATAATGTTTTCAGGGTTCATCCACGTTGTAGCGTGTATCAGTGTTGTGGTTTTCTTTTCATCTTTTCTTATATAAAAAGAATACAAAATGAAATAATTAGCTTTACATTTATGCAAGGTGCTGTAGCATCTGCTTCCTTTCTATGTGTTTGTCTCAGATTTTCAGTGACCATTTTGTGGTCTTAACATGGTGCCCCGTACACAGTTCTTCAGCTCCTGCTCTGAGGCAACCACTTAAGAAGCATGTATTTAGAAGTGCATCCAAATTGTGTGTGTGTGTGAGAGTGTGAGTGAACTCAGGGCCACACCCACCCAGAGTCCTCTGAAGTGAGTGAAGACACAGTTCTCGAAGTTTCTGTAGTACCACATAAATATTTGACAAATACCTGAAACTGTGGGCCTGCTTTTGCACCTCCTGGTAAATCCACACTGGCAGCATAAACCTGAAGCAAAAGCAGTTTTTCCTGTGTTTCTCTCCTTGATTTGCAAACGATTTCATTTTAGTGAGGGAAACTGAAGAGCTGCCCCCCTCAGGGCTAGGAAGGGAGAGTAAATCCAGGGTTATGGATTTGGAATCCGATGGGTAGAAATAGCACCAAATGCTGCCCCAGGCTGTGAAGGCCTTCCGCTCATTCCCACAGTTTTCCTTGTGATTTACTTGTCCTCTTACTGAAAGGGGAAAATGCCGAGAAGAGCCAAAATGCCCAGCTGTTCGTGGTTAGGTGGATGGAGCGAGGGCTGCCGTTCTGCTTAACGACCTGAGCGAGCACGGAACGTCTGCGTTCCAGTGCCCGGCTGAGCTTGGGGGGCCGGCGTGGTCAGGCAGGAGGACCCCGGCCATGCGGGGGCTGTGTGGGGGGCCGCCTGTGTGGGGGGCCGTTGGGGCTGGAAGGAGCTGCAGGGAGCACTGCCTGATAGCCCTCCTTCCTTTGGAATGTTCTGCCCCAGGAGCTCCCGTGACCCAGAGGGGAACCGTAGCTGAGTCTAGAGCAAGCGCACATCTGTTCCGAGCTGCTCGTAAGAATGCCCGGGGAGATGTGCAGGGCCGGAGAATAGGGAAGACAGGAGGGACTTACCAGCCCCCAAAGTGGAAGCACCTTTTATACTGTTTCAGTTGAAACCAGACCAGCAGCCTGTCAGCTCTGAGCTCCTCTTTGTTCTCCAGCATTGTTATTGGGGTATAGGTACCCCCCACACACACCTGCCTCAGCTCCCTGCCTCACCTGCCCCCCCCCCGTCTCCCACTGCGTCCAGTGCCCCCTGAGGCGCCCCCCTGCACAGCATTGTGGCCGGTGCTGTGAGCCCGGGGAGGCCCAAGGTCCCTTCCCTCCCTCCTCTCCTAAGTCAGTCTTTGTTCTTGAAAAAGCCAAAGATCTCTCAGTGTGTCCATATGGTAGACTCTTCCAGATAGATAGCTAAGTTCTGGCCTTCCCTTTTCCTGGTGTCTTGGAAGGTAGCTGAGTTGTCAGCCTCACAGCGGGCCTTCCTGACGCTGCCTCCCATCCCCGGCGGGCCAGGCTCCTTTCTGAATTGCGCCTCTGCGTTTTGATGGAGAAGCCAGATGAAGAACCTGAAGCACAGGACACTGAGCAGCTTCTTGCAGGCAGGCCGCCGCACGAACGTGCACTCAGGCTACCTCTCATCCCAAGAGTGGAATGGCCGCTCTGCAAAATTGCAAGCACCACGGGGCTGGAGCTCTCCATGTGCCACGTGGCCTGGCCCAGCTGTCGGCCTCTGCCCTGGGCCACAAGGAGCCCTATGTCCGACAAATCCCATGGCCTGGAATTAGGTGGCATTGAAAACAGTGGTCACTCAGTCTGTCCCAGGCCATCCCAGGCCAGGAAGGAACCACAGCCTGTTTATTAGCGCTTTGATTCATAGTAACGTGCACGGGCAAAACCTGGGCATTAGGAGTCTCTATACAGTTAGACTTGCAGGGGAGCCTGGTGCCTAGCAGTGGCCTCACTTTTCATTCATTTTTCTCTCAAGCCAGAAGGACTGAGTAACGGGGGGCCCGTTGTAACCCCGTCCGTGCAGCTCAGCCTCTGGTACTGCCCCCTCAGCTCACCTCTGTCGCTGGAAAGAGGGTAGCTGCCTTCCGGGTGGTCGAGAGGTCCTGCCTCTCAAGAGGTCATGAGGCATTCTCAAGACAGACAGGACCACGCAGGAGAATCTTGTCTGCTTCTGTTCTGGAGAGCGGTTCTCAACAGGAACTGGAGCGGAGGACAGCAAAGAGCGTCATCCCCTCTGGGAACTGCCTGACCCAGCGGCCGTGGGCTCGGGGTGATTCCTCCAGTACCCAGAGTCTGGCCTGTGCGGTGTCAGCAGGGAGCAGATGATCGCTTTGGGGGCTGCCCACTCAGCTGCCCTGGTCGTGGACCCCAAGCTGCTGAGTTGAAGTCGGACCTGAAGCAGCCCCACAGATCTGTCAACATGCAGCAGATGATGGAGAAGCCAGATGAAGAACCTGAAGCACAGGACACTGAGCAGTTTGACTAGGGCCCCCCAGCTACTGGGCGGTGGAGCTGGGGTCTGACCCGGGGGTTCTGGCTCCAGAGTTTGTGATCTTCCCTCACAGAGCCACAGTTCAGAGAAGCAGAGACGATAGCAAGACTGAGGACGGAGCTATCCCAGCAAGCAAGGGAGGTGGAGAAAGAAGAAACTGGAAGGGCTCCCACACAGCAAGGCCAAGGCCAACAGCACCTGCCGCCTGGGTCAGGGCCACAGCCAGTGGGACAGTTGTGTCTGGCCTGTAAAGGGCAGCTGGTGTCCGCACCGCTGCACTGGGTTGAATGGTTGAGGTCCTAACCCCTACGACCTCAGACTGTGACCCTTATTTGGAACTAGGGTGTATGCAGACATAAACTAGTTAAGCTGGGGTTATACTGGAGTAAGGCGGGCCTAACCCAGTATGACTTGATGTCATTATAAACAGAGAGCCAGAGAGAAGACAGCCATGTGAACAGACACGTGGGGAGCATACCGGGTGAGGATTGGCAGAGACTACAGTGATGCATCCACAAGCCGAGGGGTGCCTGGGACTACCAGAAGCTAGGAACAAGCAAGGAAGGATTCTGGCCATAGTTTTAGAGAGAATGGAACCCATCTGACACCTTGATCTCAGACTCGTAGCCTCCAGAACCGAGAGACCGTTGTTTAAGCCACACAGCCTGTGGTACTGGGTGATGGCAGCACAGGAAACTGAGGCAACCACTGTTGCATTCTCTACCTGCCTAAGGTGCTCAGACTGACATCCCCAGCCTACCATCCTCCTCCTCCTGTCTTGTGTCATGGAGGCCTTTCATTGCCCCAGAAGCCAGCCTACCCCACCATCGATGTCAGGAGATGGACTAAAGTGATGGCATCACTGGGCCCGTGCCTCGGGGACGGTGGCTGCAAGCCTCTGGTAGTCCGTGTTCTCCTCTCCTTCCCTGGATGCCTTTGGACTTCCCAGAGCAGCCACCCTGGAAATGCCGGGCCCAGCTCTCCCATATCCAATGGAGCCCTTCCTTCTGCCACACTGTCCTGAAGGCTGCCAGCCACATGGGGGTCAGGAAATGGGGGGCCTTGACAGGGATGGAGGTTTGCAGAGATCCCCTACCCCAAAATGTACCATATCTACTTTAGAAAAGACCCACAGAGTAGCCCAGTGACAGCCAGATAAAGAAGTAGAGAGTTAGGCTGCCAACAGGCTTCCCACTCCACGCCGGAACAGTGGCAAGGACATGGCCTTGAGGCTGGAAACTCCATGCGGGGAGGATGACGGAATGCCGCTTCTGTACCTCTGGACAGCAGAGCGGATTCAGAGGAATTCTGTCACCTAGAAGATGAACTCGAGGGCTTGGCTATGCCTGCGGCTGCTGTGTGCTGCCCACACTGGGAGCCAGGCCTTGGGCCCAGGGACTCCATGTTGGCTCACTGGCCCGCCGTCTGCCCCCCTCTCCAGGACCAGCCTGGAAATAAATGTACGTGTCCATTCCTGCTCTCAGGAAAAGTAGGCCTTGGGCTCTGTACCCCAAGAGTGAGGACAGGGTTACTTGTGAAAACGGTCTCTCCTGCAAGGCCTGGGCGCAGGGCTGCAGGCTGAGCTGGGTTGTTGGTATGTGCGGTCCTTCTGAGATGGAAGGAGCAGCAGGAAGAAGCCCAGCTTCCGCTCCAGTGGTGCCACCTCGTGCTGGTGCGCGGGACCGGAGGAACCGGCGTGGCACCTGGGATCCTAGCTGCAAAGGAATCTGGATGTAGAGCACGGCGCGTCCCGGGGGAGGGCCAGCTCTCCAGACCATAGCGTGTAGTGAGGGTGAGTCACTGCGAGAGTGACCTGGCCGCCGGGGCTTTAGGGAAGATGATCCCGCAGAAGCGGCTCCAGGCCGAGCCGTGGCTGGGTGCTAGCCAGGCGAGGAGACTGCTGGATGTGCAAGTCACCCGGGCAACGTGACTGTGAGGATGGATCCCAGGCACCCCCCCCCC